CTGGGGGGACTAACACTTGTGTCTTTAAAGATCAGGCGCCCATGGGCTTCGGTAGTTACTTACCATCTGACCCATGTGCTTGTTTGCGCCCTATACCATAAAAAAAGTATATTTAGTTTTAGTCCCTGTTTATGATTCCACAAAATACCGGCTTCAGTGGGAGAAGTAATATTTTCTTATTAAAACGTAACACGGAGCTCGGCTTATTTACATAGCTTTATAACAATCAACCGGAGACGTTTTTATTACTGATCGTAAAAAGGAAAATAGCCTACAGTATCGAGCTCTGTTTAGTGAGTGAGACATTACATTAGAAGCTATTACGAACAGGAAACATTAATTTTCATATTATAGAAAATATCTTGAAATCACTATAATCAGTTTTGACACGTTTTATATCAGATTAGTTTTTGCCCACGGCGCCGCCAGCGTGTATATCGGTTATTGCGGCAAACAGGGAACAGTACCTAATTTAGTTCATTGGTGAAAGTATTTTTAAAATCCGTCGTATTGCCGTGGGAGAGCCATGCTTCGGCACGAATGGGCCGGCTCGACCGGAGTGATACCACGACCTCACAGGAAACCGGTGTTAAGCAATTCTTTCGTTGCCTTTCACTGAGTGAGTGAGGTTACCGGAGCCCAAATCCACCCTCCCGCTGACTCGAGCGGGAGGGACTCCAAGTGCGGCAACGCACTTGTGACTTTTGAGTTGCGGGTGTACATGGTTGCTTGACATCAGGTGACGCGTCGTTTGCCCCCTTATACCATAAAAAAAACCGTTCAGTGCTTTAGGCGTGAAAGCGTAACAAACAAACTTTAAGAACTCACTCATTTATAATATAAGTGTGGATAAGTAGTACACGGTACGCGTGTGGCACATTGTAGTTGAATTGATAAGAATTATGAACAAAACTGACGCGAAACATCTCAACAGTTCTGCTGAGACTGCTACAAAACTGATGCTCAAAATGCGAAGTTCGCCTTTATACCCAGATTTAATCTAAAAAAGCCGTGTCGTGGGACACCCGATAGGATCGAAGTTGTGACGATCGAGTAAAACTGATTCGACACGATTTTAATTACAACGCCATCTATGAAAGCGGCTATTACCTACATATTTTTCAGTTGGTTTCTAATTAAAACAATTTATACATTGGTAAAATCTCCTTGAGAAACCCTAAGACATAAATTTTAATTTTACTGAGATGAAAAGTAATGATTTCCTATCTATTCGATAGATGACGCTGAATGACTGACAAGTGACAATTCAAAATAAAAAGTGTCGTTACAACTTTTCGTGAGATTTTTTTCCGTCTAGCCCCCTTTCACAACGCGCGATAAGGAACTTCGTTCCAAAACTTGCATCGAATGTTCACCACAGGTAATGTAGCGTTGTTATCACCCGTCCAATGTAGTGTGTACTGAATCTTAGACTTTATGATGTCATACTAGTTTACACATATAATTACTTGCCCTGACTGACTAATTCATCAACGCAGACCCTAAACCGCTAGGGTTACAAACTTGAAATTTCGGCAGTTGATGCTTTTTATGCTTGTAAACACCCGCTAAGAAAGATTTTTTTAAATGTTCACCCCTAAGGGGATACAATAAGGGAGGAAATAAGCACGAAATAACAAATATTCTCGTCAGTGATATTGCGGGCAGTGGTGCTAATTCTGTTGTTCAAAAACTCTCTAAACTAAACTAAAAATCACTAAAAAAAAAAAATGTCCTGTCAAATATTACGTTTTCAGAATAGGAAACGTTGTTTGATAGAACCAAACAATTTTTTTGTAATTTTTAGTTTAGTTTAGAGAGTTTTCGAACAACAGAATCAGCACCACTGTCTAGTTTATTTTAACAAGTAATGGCATTATTAATGACATTCACCCCAGTTGTGTAAATGTTACAAGGTGTTTATGTTAAAAACTTCATCAACTTTTTACCATGTCGTTTCTATTACTCCGATACGTTTCTCAATTCTGTCTCAGTGACAATTTATTAATGCATATTTTATCTCCATACGACTCGAGCAGAATCACCTAATTGATATTTATGAGGGAAAAAATACATCGGGACGGTATAAACTCTGAAAATATAAATAGATACTTTGTCGTGCCTGAATGTAGGGTTTTATTTTTGGTGTCATAATTGATTACAACCATCCGGCTCGAAGGACCAAGAAATATATGATACGTTTCCTTTGTGCGATGTGCTGCTGCTAAGCTTAATGCTAACTCTACCACTGTTTATTGTTATAAAAAGTGTAACTGTACCAGGCTACCTTAAAATGCTAATAGACGATATATGATTTGATAATAATTACGAATGTATCTGGTTTGCAAGTTCGTGTGGTGGCGAGTCCGTGTGGTGACGGATTAAGAATACAAATTGTCACCACCTCTATTCATCCCGTGGGTGTCGTAAGAGCCGACTAAGGGAGCAAACTAAGCAGGACAACAGCACTGCAAAGAGAAGGAAAACTTGAAACAAACCCTATACCAACCCGTCTGGCCAGCGTGGTATAGTAGGCCAAAACCTCCTTTCTAAGGAGAGGCCTATGTCCAGCAGTGGACTAGTATATTTTTGTCTGTATGTCTGTTTAAAATGGCTAGACCGATTTGATAATATTTTACTCAGGCTATTTTTCCTCTCAGAATAATCTTATAAAATTTTGCTTGGTCCGGGAATCGAACCCGAGGCCACTGGGCTGCGGGAGCGTACCGAACTACACCACTAAAACAGCGCTTTTCCAATTCTAAGCGAACGAAGTCGCGGGTACCAGTTAGTGTTGTATATCAATATTTTATCGTTTGTTTCTCGACTGGTTGTTCAGTAAAAATAGTTTATTTTTTAAGTTTCAAATCGACAACTCCCGCACTAGAAACATATCCTATGTCGCAGGGGACTTTACAAACATACATGAAACGGACACAAAGAACACCCAGACTCAGGACAACAATTTGTGGATCACAAAAACTATCGTCCCATTTGGGGATCGAACCCATATTAAGCGTCGTCGCGACCGCTTAAATCACTACGCCATCCGTGCAGTCTAATTTGTTAAATTACGTTAAATATAATAAATGAAGACTGAAACATTTATATAATAACAGTAGTAATTTATTCTCGTCCATGTTCTAAATACCACAGCAACACCTAATGTCTTCAATAGCAGCACATTATTACCCTACCGATTGATTTAAGTTCCTTCTACAATTTAGTGTTATGACTACAACATTACGAATAATTATGAGATCTCATAAAAAACATTAATTATTTCTCACTAGGTTCAAGCTCTGACTATTATTTGCATTTTATTACATTCAATAATATTTAAATATGTGTTTTTATATTTTATGAACGTATGTTTACCTACTAATATTGTTGTTATTGCCGAAGAGTTTGTTTGTTTGTTTAGTTGTCTCAGGAACTACTGGTTCGAATTAAAAAATATTTTAGTGTTGGATACCCCATTTATCAAGGAAGGTCATAGGCCACATACCGTCACGCTACGAGCCGGGAATTAATGTAAATTGTTACGAAAACTTGGAATATTTATTCTTTTTCAGAGAGGGTCAGCGAGTAACTAATGAAATAAAAGAAATTAATTCAAATAATATATAGCACTATCGCTGTTAATTTATTTTTCTCACAAATATTGCTGTTTATTACAAATAGTTTTGATTTGTTCTGTGTCTTAGAAAAATATAAGTATTTTTATCTGCAGTCTGGTAACCATAGCACAGGATCCGCCTAGCTTGGGATCAGACTGCCGTGTGTGAGATGTGTGTTATTATTAGTTACCTGACTTCGCCTTAAGAAGAGTTATGTTTTTCGAATATAATTATGTATGTATGTACATCTCTATCTCTCACGCTCTGTGGTCTTAACGGCTCGATGGGTTTTAGCTTGGGAGGTGTCGTTGATTCGATTGTCGTCAGTTTGTAAATTTAATAGTAAGTGTCAATAAGTAAGTGACTTTCGATAACTTCGTATATTTCCGCATAGAACTCATGATCTCTATGTGTAACCAAACTTATGAACCATCTGCGCACCTTTTTTTTTTCCAATCTCTCGAATACCACTGATATCGGTGGCATGTCGGACTCGAACCGACTAAAACCGCACGCCGTCTCGGGTACTAATAGCCGGGGAACCAGGTATACCCTAGAAAGGAAGTCCCTGGTGCCCCGACATACTTCGGGCCATCTACAACAACAGGTAGACGACCCCCCCCCCGTGTGGGAACCCCATGTTCCCTACCATCGGCGCACCTGTGGCGAGGGATGACCCTTCAGTATCAAGTGGCTTCGCAAGCCGCGGGTGTCAATACGAGTACCACGGTGTAATACCACGCCGACACAGATTACTAATGATAAGGACTAAAAAGGCTGCAACTTACGTACGATGGTACCCGCTTACCATCAGATGGCCCGTCCATTCGTTTGCCCTCTAGACCGTAAAATCATTCTATGTCTGCCTTCATGTTTATAAACTATCTAAGTTGTTCATATAGACAGAGATCCTTCTAAGAACTGTTTATTTCATTCTTTAATTCCTGTACTCATCAGCTCTATTACAATACACAATCACATACACCGTTTATAACGGGGATAGTCCATTAAAACAATTGCAATTTACAATTTACACATCACGTCATCACTCAGGTCACGCCAACCCATTTCACGGTCGTATAAATCATTGACAGGGCTATGAAACAGATTTTTACATCCAACTATTGGCATGGCCAAGTCAAGTGGAACAAAAATACATCTAGACACCTCCTACCGGCATTCATTCATAAATCCGACGTCATACCAATATATTCGTTGTTCATTTTGCCAACTGAAAAAATTGTCTCTCTGCTTTTCGTTTGTTTATTTACGTGATAAATGTTGCGATGTATATTTTGTGTAAGCAAAATATTTTTGTTGGAAACAGTTTTGCGTCCAATGACAAATGATCATTCAATTTCGATGTTTTGGTGTTCGCAGCAAAAGAAACGCAGCAAGGGTGGAGATGGTAGGAACAAGGAGAATATCATCGAGGAAGTCATCGATGATAAAGATGGAGACCGGAGTTCTGAGCCGCCTAAAGAAAGAAAGACTCCCTGTTATGAAATAAAGCATTCGGATGTGATGGGCAGGTGAGAATTTTATTATTTGAATGTAAAAAGCATCTTAATCATTAAGTTTAGTCATCGTTTTCCTTCAAGACATATTTTTGTGTATCAGTATAGTATAAATAGGCAAGGACATTACAGTTTCTATTTTTGTTCTTTTTTTTTGTTTTATAAAAATAAATCGGATTTTGCATGAACATGAATTGGTAGCGACAAAATAGTGCAGTACCATTCTGTTCACTTTGTATACCAATTTTCTTTTTTTTTTACGATTTGTAAAGGGTCAGTGATTAAACTGAATATTTGTAGTCAAAGATAGAAAAAAGTTTAAGTTTATTTTATTGACAACCTTTAAAAAAGGAATAAGATCTCTTTATTCCTTTTTTAAAGGTTGTCAATAAAATAAACTTAAACTTTTGTCTATCTTTGACTACATATATTCAGTTTTTTTTAATGTGTTTTAGATATTTAGTAGCGTCCCGTGACATTCGAGCTGGTGAGGTTATTGTGGAAGAACCGGCGCTAGCTGTTGGGCCCTGCGCTGGATGCGGCCTTATCTGTTTGGGATGCTATCGGGAGCTTGATGAAAGTAGTCTCTTCAAGTATGTATTATTCAACTACTTGAAAGTTGAATTTTAAAATTGGAAAAGGCTTGTTATCAATACTGATGTTAGCTGTTCCTCATGTTTTTGAACAAATTTGTGAAGTCTGCTCTATTCCAAGAGCGGGTACTTTCCACAGTAAGTAATTACGCTATTATAATAAAAATAAAATACAACAAACAAAAATATAACCTAACCAGAGCTTAAAACAGAATAAAAACACTTTATTACAAATGTAAGTAAAGACTAGTTCAAGTTGTTCTGGCTTTGATTTATTTTATAACCAAATAAAAACAAACTGTTTCGTTGTTTACCCCGCAAAGTAGGAACTAAAAAAAGTAGGAACTAAAAAAAGAATTAAAAATTTGAAGATTTTATAAGCAGTTAGTTAACCTGATACAAATACTAACTGCTGACTGTTTAAATCAGAATGTTTGAATCTTTCATCTATCTTTCGCACGGAATAATTTTTCAAATCGGCTTCGGCGAAACTAGTGTGCTAATTCACCATCAAATTTTGGCGATATTACGAGTTGATAAACTTGTTAATGATGTAAGCAATTAAGTAAGCATCGGTAAGACTCCCAGTATTTCAGCCAAGTAATAACTTGGCTTAAATGGATTAACAAGGATACAAGTAATTGCTGTGCGCGTCACGTTATTAGTATTTTCATGTAAAGCCTAGCTGGTACCCGTAAATTTGAAAAACGCTGCCTTGTGGTGTAGTACTGTACGCGACTGCAGTCCATGAGGCCTCGGGATCGATTTCCGGACCGGGTAACATTTTATAGGGTTTTTCTGAGAGCGTAAGTTACTCCTTATATAGACAGTTTTCTGGTAGTAAATATTATAAAAATCGGTCCAGTCGTTTTGAAGATTACCGGGAAGAAACAGAGAAACAGACAAAAAATATTTAAACTGTTTTTAGGTATAGGTATCGTGCAAATCGCCGTGTGAGCATTGAAAAAATCCTATTATTTTCATATTACGAACAGACACTTCAATTTTATTTATTTGTATAGATCAACTTTATATCCTCAGATGCCAAGGATGTCAATGGCCGATGTGCAGTAACTCGTGTTGGGGCTCAGGCAAGTACACCGGCCACTCCACGTATGAGTGCGACACACTCAAAACAATTCCGACGGACTATTCCAAACTTGAGGATCTGAAAGAATCGTATCAAGCACTTATGCCTTTGAGGTAAGGTTTTAATCAAGTTATCGGACAGTTTATGTATTATTTTATAAACCTTCTTTTCAGTGGCATTAATTCACGTATGTGCACATATAGTATGGTTTTTGGGTGTTTTCTATGTATAATATGTTTGTATTTACAAAGATTTAGTCTGTGTGATGACGGATTAAGAATACGGAGTGTCACCACCCCTATTCATCCTCTGGGTGTCGTAAAATCCGACTAAGGGAACAAACTACGCAGGACAACAGCACTGCAAAGAGAAGGAAAACTTGACACAAACCCTGTACCAACCCGTCTGGCCAGCGTGGTATAGTAGGCCAAAACCTTCTTTCTAAGGAGAGGTCTATATCCAGCAGTGGATTATTAAAGGCTGTTGATGTGATGTGATGTGATTTACAAAAAAAAATGTTATTAATGAATAATTAATAACATTTTTTTTTGTAAATCACATCACATCACATCAACAGTCATTCCGTCAATCTAGCTTTCATAGTATAAGCTCGGCTTAGTTTGAAACTAGATGGCGTTGTGTGTCAGATGTCTGAAAATATTATGTATTATATTATAAGGTTGTGGGTTCGATGTCCACCCAGGACAGATAATTGTGTGATTCTTGACATTTGCTCTGCGTCTGGGTGTACAGACACATACGTCTGAAGGCTGGTTCATGTTATTCTTTTTGGAACGAAGTTCCTTATCGCGCGTTGTGAAAGGGGGCTAGACGGAAAAAATTCTTACGAAAATTGGTCACGACACTTTTTGCTATAGTAAGCTATTGTAAGCTGTGCGGCGTCGCATGTTTCTCTGTCTGTCTCTCTCTCTCTCTCTTATAGAAAGCAAGCCAGATATTTTCATTTCTATCTTTTTATGTCAGTCATTCAGCGCCATCTATCGAATAGATAGGAAATCATTTCTCAAGGAGATTTTACCAATGTATAAATTGTTTTAATTAGAAACCAACTGAAAAATATGTAGGTAATAGCCGCATTCATAGATGGCGTTGTAATTAAAATGTGCCGAATCAGTTTTACTCGATCGTTACAACTTCGTTCCTATCGGGTGTCCCACGACACCACACGGCTTTTTTTTTATGGCATGGGGTAAAGGCGCGGGTCACCTGATAGTAAGTGACTACCATCGCCCATTGAAATCTGTTACTCAAGAGTCACAAGTGCATTGCATCCCAGAATCAGAGTGCCCAGACCAAACTTCACCTGGTTTGGGCTCCGGTAACCTCACTCACTCAGTATAAAGCAACGAAAGAATGGCTTAACACTGGTTTTCTGTGAGGCTGTGGTATTTTGTGGTGTAGCTGGTCCATTTGTACTGAAGCATAACTCTGTCTCGATGCTAGATTCTGCGTTTGCGTGGAATTTGAAAATTTCGTTACCTTACAGGACAGGGCAAAAATTTACATGGTTTTTCTGAGAGAAGAAATAGTCTAAGTTACTCCTTATATAGAGAGCTACCTGGTAGTAAAATATTATCAAAATCGGTCCAGACATTTTGAAGGTTTCCCGGAAGTAACAGACAGACCGACAAAAAGTATTTAAACTTGTTTTTAGGCATAGGTATCGTACAAATAACCGTGTGAGCATTTTGATATTACAAACAAACACTTCAATTTTATTTATTTGCATAGCATTCCCAAATTCAAACCTTTATCCACCACCTTCCAACTATGATGACCCTCCTGACAAAAGACCTTATACAAATACAAAAAGTTCATCCTCAGTTACGATTTCCAGGTGTCTACTTCTAAAAAAGTACGAACCAGAAAAATGGCAGGCGCTATCAAAAATGGAGGCTCACAATGAAATACGTCGACTAAGAGGAGATATATGGCCCATCAATGAAAAGAATGTCGTGCAGAGAATAAAAAAATGGAAGTTAGACTACGATGACGAAGAAATTCATACTGTTTGTGGCATTTTGGAGGTAAGATGTGATTTGTACTTAATACTCTTGTATTGTGAGAATGAAACTCTTAAGTTGAGCATATAAGGTGATATCCGGTGATTCGGCGTGTCAGCTTGCAATTGTAATATTGCGCGCGTTGCGATGGCCCTAATTAGCATTGCTTTGAAATCGCCAGTGAAATCGGTTGATGTGACATATCCCTTATCTGTTTCATGTTGGTCTAATGTTGCTGCTACAAAAAATCGGTTTAGCTAAAATTTCAAATGTTTTTGCTATTTTTTTTTTAAATAATTGGACATTACATGCATATTCTTGTTGTTAAATACTCAAAGTTTCCATGTGTTTCCAAAGTTTCCATGTTAAATACCAACTTGAATTTTACACTTTCAAAATAAGTGTTACAATCATGAATACGCGGTTATAAAACCGTTAGTACTTTATGTCATGCACGGAGTGTACTTATACGAGCTTAACATGGCTATGTGTCAGGTGAACGCGTTCGAGGTGGGCGGGAGCGGCGCGAACGCGCGCGCGCTGTACGACCGCGCGTTCCTGCTGGCGCACGACTGCACGCCCAGCACCACGCACACAGACGCAGAGCGCGCGGCCTCGCGCCCGCTCACCGTGCGCGCCGCCGTGCCGCACCGCGCCGGGGACCTCATCTCGCTCTGCTACGCCTACACCCTGCAGGTAGGGCTCGCGCCGCCGTGCCGCACCGCGCCGGGGACCTCATCTCGCTCTGCTACGCCTACACCCTGCAGGTAGGGCTCGCGCCGCCGTGCCGCACCGCGCCGGGGACCTCATCTCGCTCTGCTACGCCTACACCCTGCAGGTAGGGCTCGCGCCGCCGTGCCGCACCGCGCCGGGGACCTCATCTCGCTCTGCTACGCCTACACCCTGCAGGTAGGGCTCGCGCCGCCGTGCCGCACCGCGCCGGGGACCTCATCTCGCTCTGCTACGCCTACACCCTGCAGGTAGGGCTCGCGCCGCCGTGCCGCACCGCGCCGGGGACCTCATCTCGCTCTGCTACGCCTACACCCTGCAGGTAGGGCTCGCGCCGCCGTGCCGCACCGCGCCGGGGACCTCATCTCGCTCTGCTACGCCTACACCCTGCAGGTAGGGCTCGCGCCGCCGTGCCGCACCGCGCCGGGGACCTCATCTCGCTCTGCTACGCCTACACCCTGCAGGTAGGGCTCGCGCCGCCGTGCCGCACCGCGCCGGGGACCTCATCTCGCTCTGCTACGCCTACACCCTGCAGGTAGGGCTCGCGCCGCCGTGCCGCACCGCGCCGGGGACCTCATCTCGCTCTGCTACGCCTACACCCTGCAGGTAGGGCTCGCGCCGCCGTGCCGCACCGCGCCGGGGACCTCATCTCGCTCTGCTACGCCTACACCCTGCAGGTAGGGCTCGCGCCGCCGTGCCGCACCGCGCCGGGGACCTCATCTCGCTCTGCTACGCCTACACCCTGCAGGTAGGGCTCGCGCCGCCGTGCCGCACCGCGCCGGGGACCTCATCTCGCTCTGCTACGCCTACACCCTGCAGGTAGGGCTCGCGCCGCCGTGCCGCACCGCGCCGGGGACCTCATCTCGCTCTGCTACGCCTACACCCTGCAGGTAGGGCTCGCGCCGCCGTGCCGCACCGCGCCGGGGACCTCATCTCGCTCTGCTACGCCTACACCCTGCAGGTAGGGCTCGCGCCGCCGTGCCGCACCGCGCCGGGGACCTCATCTCGCTCTGCTACGCCTACACCCTGCAGGTAGGGCTCGCGCCGCCGTGCCGCACCGCGCCGGGGACCTCATCTCGCTCTGCTACGCCTACACCCTGCAGGTAGGGCTCGCGCCGCCGTGCCGCACCGCGCCGGGGACCTCATCTCGCTCTGCTACGCCTACACCCTGCAGGTAGGGCTCGCGCCGCCGTGCCGCACCGCGCCGGGGACCTCATCTCGCTCTGCTACGCCTACACCCTGCAGGTAGGGCTCGCGCCGCCGTGCCGCACCGCGCCGGGGACCTCATCTCGCTCTGCTACGCCTACACCCTGCAGGTAGGGCTCGCGGGGACGTTGCCGGTCTTCAGTACTTCAGCGTCGTCTCTTGATGATTGCACCGGTAAAGGTTTCGTAGAAAGCGCCTAGTGATAGAGTACCAACATTAAAGTGACGGAGATCTTAGTATTATTGCATTGAACAAATGCGGAGAATTACGGTCGATTAGACTTCAAATGATATCTCAGAGCAAGCCCTCAATCCGATCTGGAGTATTGTAGTCCTGTAAACATAATCACTCATCACTAGATCGTCATCATCACATCATCATCTAGTAGAATGCCCTAAACGCTAGACAATACGAAACGCTTTTTACGGAAAGCTGTATCTGAGTTGGGTTAAATTAAACAAAAATAAGTCGACCCTAATCTGTTACGATTGTTAAGAAATAACATCAGCCTTCTTAGATATCTAAACCGCCTCTTTTTTCTAGATCTACTAATAACAAAATATTGCCAATCATAAATTGCGTCACAGGTTAAAGGGGGGGGGGGGGGGCGTCACCGGAATGTGACATTGTGTGACCAGAGGCAGGGGGGGGTCAAAAGCTTTGTGACGTCACATGTTAAAATTTAAAATATTAAAACGCGAAATTTATATGTGAATAAAAAACTTTGAAAATTTACGAAGTCGATCTATATTTATTAATAATTCATCACTCTCGCTATGATATTTTTTCTCACGAAACAACATTCAAATTCTGATCGGTGTTGTAATGGAAGTGAGACACCTAAAATTCACGAGAGTTCTGAATGGTAAAATTGAAAAATGTGTGACGTCACATCAGAGGGGAAGGGGTTCTTAAAATGTGACAACCTATGACAAGAACAAGGGGAAGTTTAAAAAGTCCTAAAGTTCATGTGACGCAATTTATGGATTGCCGCTTAGATAGATTGGTAAAATCTTACTTCCTATCTTTAGTCCAAGGCAAATAAAAACTGCCGACACTTTCTTGATCTTAGAAAGCAGCAGCTATTGTGAACTTACAGTATCTCCATCTCAATTTTTGAAGTGATAACTTCTTATGGGAGGGTAAACCGCTTCGTTACGTAACGCGTTACGGCGGGAGTCTGTCTGGCTTTCCTTTCTCTCACGCAGACGGCAGCGGTAGGCATGGCGTATTTCGGACAGATAGAAAAAAAATAAGTTATAACCTAAGCTTTCTCAAGTTAAACAATTTCAATATTAAATAGTTCAACTTATATTAGTCTAAGTTATCACTTCCGTCGAGCGTCCCGAGACGCACACGTTTTCTTATATTATTATATTTTAAAATTTAACCAATTTATCTCAGGGTACCCTCAAACGTCGAGAACACATACAACATAGTAAGTTTTTCGATTGCTGCTGCAAGCGGTGCTCAGATCCCACTGAGCTGGGGACGTATGCAAGTGCCTTCCGATGTCCAAAATGCGCTGGAGGAAGACTTTTGCCAACCAAACCCTTGGATCCTGCAGCTGTTTGGATGTGTGTGGATGGAATATGCGGATATACAATGCCTGCCGTGGCAGTCCAACTACTAATTAAAAGGTAAACTTTAGGCATCTTCTGGTTAAAGTATTACTTACTAGTCCTCTCCAGAAAGAAGACTAATGGAATAGATAATAGAAAAATCAGCAAAACTTCCATGACACTTATTAACTGCTTTAACTTATCTTTTTATCTTGTAAAGGTTTAAAACTAAAAATGTCTCAACATAAAAACTAAAATTTCTAAAACCCTTATAATATATTCCCCTCGTTTTTTCCCACAGGTTAACAGATGAATTTGAACAAATTAATGTAAATGACGTCCGTGGCTTTGAAGGATTCCTTCACAAGTACCGCAATGTCATCCACAACTCCCACTACCTGTGTTTGTCGGCCAAGCACTCGCTCAGCCAGCTGTACGGGAAGGTGGCTGAATACATGATACATGAGATGCCGGATCAGGAGCTGAATAGGAAGATAGAGATCTGCAGGGATTTGATGAAGGCGTTTGATATCATAGAACCCGGATATTCCAGATTAAGAGGTAAAAGGTTACCCTGTATATGGTGAGCCAGTTCTTTTTTACTTGTGTGTTATTGAAGGGATGTTTCGATCCAATCTGTCAGTCATTTCTTTTTTCGACCAACAGATGTTTCAGAAGAAAGTTACTTGTCTTAGTGTTACGCGTTCGTACCACACGCAGTTGGTAGACTGGGTGTGGTGCGAACCTGTAAACACCCGTCCACGAGCCCACACTAGCATTTAGCTTAGCTGTAGAGGTAACCAGTGCAAGTAATGTGTGTCCTATGTAACAAGTTATAAAAGAACTACCTACATTTCAGGTGTTACTCTATATGAACTTCACGCACCTCTGATGATCCTCACCACAAGAGACTTCGAGAAGAAAGCCATTACGAAGGATAACTTGAGAATTAGACTTAAGGAGGTAATATAAGAGTCATCCCAATAAGCAATAATAAGAGTCACATAATAATAATATACCTCGCACATTTTACACACGGCTGTCTGGTCCCAAACTAGGCAGAGCCTGTGCTATGGTAACCAGACTGCTGATTAACATACTTATGTTTATAAATACTCAATACTCAATACTTTATTGCTTCCATAATGTGAATAGGTACATAGGTGACAACAATTCAAGCGGCAACAATTATGGACCCTGTCGGGCGCAGCACAGTTTGTTTGGGAGAGAGGAAGATAACACAACCACATATACAGTAGAATATTTTGTTTCTAATTAATATAGTAGGATAAAATCATGGTAACTATACATGTCATGTCGTAACTTAAATAAAGATTAAATAAAGTATAAACGACAAATTCTCTTAAAACAACTTCTGCCCACTTTGGACTATATTCTAAATTCGCTAAAGTCGTTTTTAGTTCTGTAATACATGTTAGTTCTCACTTTTGATATTCCTAAAGTAACAATATTATGACGCAATCTAAATATTTTTTAACGCCATCTATTGAGTTCATATACAAAACTAATGGTTAAACCATTTTATTTAACTTATATTTATGTTTAAAATGAAATCAGATAAAATTAAATGCAAGGCTAACTCTCTCGTTTCAGATTGTGAACTACCTGACAGAGTCATCATTAATCCTCAGCTTTGAACCTCCTCAGTCGTCTGAAGGTCTCATGGCTTCTGCTGCGAAAGATGGATTGAAGAAGATCAAAACTTGGGAACAAATTATTGGCAAAATTTCATAAGATTACATTTGAAAATAAAGCTCATGATCTATTTTTTTGTAAACCAAACCATTGTATTTATTACGTTTTACAGCATTTTATGAACTTTTTCATTTTTTGTTTTTATAACTATAAAACAATTAATTTCTGTACTTTCTGGTTTGTCTCTCAATCACGACACCATAGACATAGGCTAACATAGAGAAGGCTATCAGCTAGAGGGTTTTTATTTTAAATATTTGTTTATATTCTTTGCACTAATGTCATCTAACTGACAGTAGATGGGATCCGAATAGTACATCTCTTTATGCTTTATTATGTTAATATTTTTGTTATGGAATAAATGATTTTGAAATTAAAAAAGATTTGCATACAAATGTGTCAATACTAATAAATTATGAGATTATTTTCTTATTAGACTTATAAAAACATAATGTAACTAATTTGATAAAATTTCTACATTTTATTTAAAAAAAACTATATATTTTTGTTAAATGTTTTATTATTTATTCATTCCTTCCACTAAAAGACATTATTATTGTGTGAATTATTATATTTATTTTTGTAAGGAAATGTTTAACTGTCTAAAACTAATTTAGTATTTAAAAATAAATAATTTATTTCCATCATTTTTGTTTTTATTATTATTATTATATTGATTGGGTAACGGTTACGGAAGTTACGGTGTAACAGATAGATAGATAGAAAACTCTTTATTTGTACACCGTTTTACAAGTAGTATGGTACATTATAATGTCAGACATGTAATCTACAAATGGCGGCCTTGTTGCTAAGAGCAATCTCTTCCAGGCAACCTTAGGATGGATCAAAATGTTTTGCAGAGACAGTAGTAGTCGAAGGTGCAATGCATTTTGTCAGGTTAATTACTAAGGAATATAAAGAGAACATAAAAGAGGTGAAGCAAAGAGAGGGAAAACTTGACAAAAACCCTATACCAACCCATCTGGCTAGCGTGGTATACTAGGCCAAAATATCCTTTTCTAAGGAGAGGCCTATGTCTAGCAGTGAGCTATTAAAGGCTGCTGATGACGATGATGATGATGAGTTGTGCAAAATTTCGTTATATCCATACACAGTGATGGCAACACTGTCAGGAGACTAATGATTCATGGTTTATTATTATTTACAGTGAGCTATTAAAGGCTGTTTATAATGATGGTGATAAAAGAGGTAAAATACAAAAAAAAAACGTAATGGAGAATAGTTCCGTCTATTAGTTCAGAGTTGAACTTGGGTCCTGAAAACCTTAAATCATCTCCCTTATTGTAGAACCAATACGATATATTTAGTTATTATACTGTATCCAGCAAGAAAAATAGGAAAATACAATATTAAAATCGTAACACTTACATATGAAGATGAATTCCCAGCACCTAAAAGGCAAGTAGCAATATGGTAGTAACCAGGATTATCACATTGAATATTTTTTCCGAACACTATATTGTCATCATCCTCCGAGGTATTTCTCAAACCAGGTTGGTTTTAATTGGGTCGTGGAGCGACTGCCTCCAGACCTCCACCACCCAAGTAGGCGATATCGAAGTTCCTATAGATAGATAGATAGTTCCTGTTGACGGAATTTTTAGGGTTTCAACTACTCGTAACGATTGCCAGCGTTGTTCGTATGGAAACCGGGACCGGTGGCCTAAAGTGCTCTCCGAGGTAAAATAATTGTATTTACAAAATAAATTTTACCTTTTTGTACTTAAATCAGGTAGAAGTTACGTAAGAAAAGAAAACCCCACGATGGAGATACAAAAGCAAACTAAACACTAGAGCTGATTAGACAAGTCAGTAAAGTCGACTACCCGGGCACTTTTGTAGCCTCTGACTAGTCGGCGATTAGTCACGAACTACAAGAGTCGACACACGTCTCTGTAATAACACAACACTAACAACACAATAACAACACAACACTAACAAAACCCGCTAAGTAAGAAGAAGCAAACCCCACGATGGAGATACAAAAGCAAACTAAACACTAGAGCTGATTAGACAAGTCAGTAAAGTCGACTACCCGGGCACTTTTGTAGCCTGTGACTAGTCGGCGATTAGTCGAGTAGTAGAGTCGACACACGTCACTGTAACAACACAACACTAACACAGTGATACAAAACCCGCTCAGTATTTCAACCAAGTCGGAGCATGTCTCCGTTATATGTTCCCTAGTGAGTACATAGTTTTTTTTATGGTGTAGGTGGAGCAAACAAGCAGACGGATCACCTTACCTTACCTTACTTACTTTACCTTATGGGACTACCGACGCCCATGGTCACCTACAAATACACTGTGGCTTCTTCAGTTCCTCCCTCTCGAAAAGCAGGGGGAAGGGCGAGGTCTCCGGTAACCTCATACACTCGGTGAAAAACAAAGAAGGAACTGAAAGGCGGTGGTAATATTTGATAAAGGACTCGTGTTCTTTGGATTTACTGAATTGGCAGTTCCTACTTAGTGTTATCACACAGGATGGTATTTAAGCTCACCGAGTTGTGTTTGTGTTTCTTCTTCTTGTTATGTTATGTTTTTCTGGTTATAATTTTCCGTGAATTCATGTGGTTACGGTTTAAGAATACGGAGTGTTACTTCATTCCGTGGGTGTCGTAAGAGCCGACTAAGGGAGCAAACTACGCAGGACAACAGCACTGGAAAGAGAAGAAAAACTTGACACAAACCTTATTCCGTCTTGCTTGATGAAACATCTTTTCTAAGGAGATTCGAGGCCTATTAAACTAGTGGACTATTAAAGGCGGTTGATGATGATGATTGTTATGGAATTTACATTGAGACTATAACAATACAATATATATACATTTTTTATAAGTATATATAACATATAAAAAATGTATAAATCGATGTATAGTAGCACAAGTCGGGAAAGTATTCTAGGGGCCGTGGACTCTTGCAAGAAATATGATAATCGTTAATGGCTAAATGTATGGCTGTATCTGCACCAACCCGACATACTGGCGAGTTTGCGGCTGTGCGCCCCTGACGGGTGAGTGGGTGCGCGCCGCCAGCCCCCTCCGCTCAGCGATCCCGTAACGCGAACAAATTTACTTCGATATGCTCCTATATCACGCGTCATAAGGCTTATTAATATTATTTCAATACAAGTAGATATCTACAACTGTAGTCTGCCGAACTTCAAAGAAGTCGCCCAGAGATGTATTACAGCAAATGATTTTTATGTATAAATAACTGTTACTTACTGTTTTTACTTACAGTATCGTTTTGGGATAAATCCTGTAAAGACACTGTAATTGTTTTTAATAAATAAATAAATAAATAAATCTGTAATAACTGATTTATGAAAAAATAATCACCCGAAGTATTAAAAAATATTTTTTTTTTGAAACAATGGTTAGGAGGATACAATTAGGTAACAATTTGATAATGTCATGTAATATTTTATGAACAAATGTTCTGGGGACATTTTGTGAGTTTATTTCACACCTGCTCGCGCAATGAAATCTTCACCAATCGCAACATTCGCAACGCCAAACACGCTTGCCGTCGAGAGCGATTTGATGTGAAAAAATTACACTAAACTGTAAACTTTACTGTTCAAGATGTTCGTATTGATGTGATCGTTGTGTACATAATATATTTTAAGCGACACTGCATAAAGAGCCATCTATTGGATTCTTTAGGAACTACGGACATTTTGTTTTGATTGAATGAAGCACAATAGAAATATTTGCATTGAAACAGTTTTGATAGTAATTAATAAACATACTGGAAAATTTATCTTGATAAATAGTTGTTAATAGTTAAGTTTAACGCCACAGTGTCTCACACAATACAATTTCTAAACAGCTAACGTTACACTAACTGCGTGAGTTATTTATAATCCAACCAAAACGTTTGCGCCTGCGCATTCGGTGCATATGTCAGCCCGGTCCACGTGTGTCAGGAATATTTTCTACTAACCAAATTTATAAATGTGAAAATAAGAAACATTCGCTAAAAACTATTCCGTCACCATCATCCTAAGTAAGTATTACAATTTTTTTAAATATTTTAATTGTTTCGTGGTTACTGGCCATCTTAACGCTCCAAAACAAAATGGCTTTTATTCTAAGAATGAGTGTTCGAGAATAATTTTAAATAATTTGAAATTTATAACGATATTGTTGCACATTTTAAATATAAAGTAATTTCAAACAAGTATAATGTAGATGAATCCAACGCCTTTTGAAAACTTACTAGCAAAGAATCACGCAAATGTTTTTAATCTGTGTTTAATTAGTAACATGGCTTACGATTGCAGAATTAATAAGTGTAGGTATGTTTATAGGTAAGTTTTAACACTTTTTTTTCCAGAATGACATCGGAAGGTTCTTGTATGGTATGTCTCTCACCAGCAATCAACAAATGCTCCGGCTGTCAGATCGCTCACTACTGTTCTCGAGATCACCAAAAACAGGATTGGAAAACTCACAAGTTCCAGTGCGTGCCATTTAAGGTGAAGGAAGATCAAAAGCTTGGGAGATATTTAGAGGCTACAAGGGCAATTAAAACTGGTGATGTGGTATTAAAAGAGAAACCGCTTTTAACGGGCCCGGCACAAGTGAGTTCTTTACCTCTCAAATTCATGAATTAAAGTACGTAGTAATTAGATAGAATCTTGTTTCCCGAATTCCAAATTCAAAAATGCTTTTTAAATAGTTTGATATATATCTTTATCTGTTACTCCTTTTTTCCCCGCTTTTTTCATAAGGTACCTGTGCCATTTATTTAACCATAGAAAAAAAAACTTAATGTTCATGCGGTTTAGAAAATTCCTTTGTAACATTAACGCACGAAAAAAATATCACATTTCTTTATCTATAAAATGCCAATTTCATACGGGAAGCCCCAACATTTTCAGATGCGTACTATTATCTACTAGACTATTATACGAGTATATTTATTACATTTGCTCGTTCACATGTCAAAAGATTAAAAAAAAACTAAGTAGTTGCACTTATTTAAAAACAGATTCTGAGTAATCGTAAAACATTTGCTATTGTGTCGTACACAAATAAACAACGACATTTTGGGTTTATTTTTTACTTATTATGTCTTTAACGTTTTGGCTTTACAACTAAACTAACCTAAGTTCTTGCCTTAATTGACATCTTAGCAACTTATCTGACAGTCTTGAGCAATCTGCAGCAAGCCTTAACACTTCAGCAGTATATTAAGTTTTGTAGATAGGACGCTTTGTATAAGAAGTTTCTACGTATATAGTTTGACTGCGTCAGTGACGCATTGGTAGCGTATGCGACTGGTGCGCTGAGATCTCGGGTTCGATTCCCGGGTCGGGCAAATGTTTGTATGATCCACAAATATTTGTTTCGGCGTTTGGGTGTTTTCTATGTATGTATTTACAAAAAAGTATATAAGTATTCTATCAGTCAATCTAGCTTTCATACTACAAGCTCTGATTAGTTTGAAACTAGATGGCATTGTGTGTTAGATGTCCAAATATTATTATTATTACTAATCTTGCACAGGTAACTCCCCCCGTATGCCTTGGGTGCTACAAACTTCTAGAAGAAGGCAAAACAGTTGCTTGCGAGAAATGCGGGTATCCATTTTGCTCTAGCGAGTGCACTGCTAAACAGGAGCACATTCCCGAGTGTCACTTCACTCAGAAACGAGGAGAAAAGGTAAGACTGTGACTAAGGACAACTATAATGTGACGAGGACGATCCTTAGTTATGTGTCTGGATGTAATTTATCTAAATCTATATATAGCTGTACCCAGCACGCCACGCGGAGAAAATCTTTGAAGCGGGTTGTGTATTGTGTCAAAACTTTGAACACAATCGGTGCAGAACTGTGGGAGTTTTTTAAGCGTACACAAACCAACTTTACATTTGTATATATATAGATATGCATGTATTTAAAAATATATTAGAATGTGTATAAGCAGTTTTCATTGCCGTCAGGTGGCGCTTTCAGCAAACACTGCTTTCTTATGTGCTCACGTTAAAATATCATTAAAAATTGTTAGAAATAAAAACTGTAACTAGTAAAGTACATAATAGTGACAAAGGATACGTGAACTATCTGTGAGAGTGTTGGTGATGGTGGGTGTTGCGTAAAAACTAAAATACTGTGCTATAAAAATTAAAGACAGTGTCTTGCAGATTTAAACAAATTAACAACTAATGAATCCTAGAGGTAATTAATAGCCCACCAAAACATTAAACCATAAAGTGAACGTAAATCATACAGTCATATCTTATCTTGAACGAGTGCTTTTAAACTTTCGTTTCTAAAGAATCCGTTTTTTATTTGAATTCCTTGCTTGTCACATCAAGGACAATAGACACAACTTACTCCATCTTGTGGTAAACAGATTAATGTAAGAACAAAACCGGTTTCACTGTACATGTCTTGTTTCAACAAACGGTGGGTAATGTTGCGACGCCATCTTTTAATTGATGTAAGTAAACTACCTACCGTTTGGAAGCATTGGAGCCGCACACAATAAACAATTTCAATACGTTAGCTCATGTTCTGGTAGCGTGGCGGGTTAACAAGCCGGCAACCCGCATCGTCAGGTCGCACGATCAAGACCAAGTTACGTATTTTGGAAATACTTGTTTTGTAAACACCACGTTTATAACTCATAATTTGCATCCCATATAGCAACATTATTTCATACAGTGCACTCTGGTTATATAAAATACAACATGTCCACTCAACGAACACCTCCGAAATTATCGACTACAGTTGTGGGACATACACAGTCGGAATCTGATTTAAACGCACTGCAGCAAGGCGATGTTTCTCTCGTGAATATAACACGAAATAAGCGCCCTCGCACTGAATTGGCCCCGTCACCGGCAAGTGATAGTCATGACCAGAAGCATGATATAATGGAATTGTTAACTAACTGGAAGACAGAATTGGATACCAAACTCAACGATATGTTTATTAAACAAAATTCTCTTATATCTAAACTATCTAGTGATATTTCGGAACTAAAACTCCAAAACTATAAAATTCAAAAATCAAATGATGAAATTGTACAGTCAATGGAATTTATAAACAATCAATATGAGGAGTTAAAATCGGGTCTAACAACCTTACAAAAGGAACGTCTGGAACAGCGACTTTGTATTAAAAAGCTGGAAAGGAATATTCAAGACCTCCAACTCAAATCTAGATCCTCCAGCATAGAGATAAGAACGTTCCACAAGTTGATAAAGAGACCACTTCCGATCTAGCCAAAACCATTTGTGTGATCGGAGATACCGTAGGATCTGTGATTACTCCATCAGATTTACGTGATATTTATCGGTTGCCCAGTAAGCCAGGGTCTACACGTCCGATCGTTGCCGAGTTTCAGACAGTCCAGATGAAACAGAAAACTATTGCTGCTGTACGAGACTTCAACATCAGTAAAAAAACTGTTGAGGAAAAACTCAACACGGGACTCATCAACATCTCTGGCAAGCGCCAACCAGTTTACGTTGCAGATCACCTCCCTGCCAGTGCCAAGAAGCTTTTTTATTTATCTCGGGAATTCGCCAAACAAAATGCTTTCAAATTCTGCTGGACTGTAAATGGCAATGTCTTCTTGCGTAAAGAGGAAGGCAATAAGCAAATCCTTATTTCATCAGAGCAATGCCTTCACGACCTGCGTAACAAATTGTGACGTGCGAAGCATATCCTATATCGGTTGAAAATGTTTATAGTAATATTTTTCTGCCTCATTGTATTGATTTTTAAACTTAATCAAGGTAACTTAACTTATCTATGTTATTATAAACTATGTACAAACTTTCACACAAATGGAATACATAACGTAACAAAAAATACACACGGACACATACATCAATTCAACACACTTTTAACACATGTTTAACACACACAAATACATTGTTTACAGAGATATTGTCCTACCTTATTGTAGTGTTTTTTACACTCAATCAAGCTCACTTAACCTACAAACATTATCTTAAGCAATTTACTCGTATAAACTTTCTCTCAAATAGAATACATAACATAACACGAAAAGATACACGATCTGATATACAATTTCAACACATGCTTAACACACTACCTATTTATCTACACTGTCTCATTACATTATCATTCCGCCTCATCAACTATTCTCTCAATCAGTCATCACCTCCCTACTCATTCAAAAATGTACAGTCTAAGAATTTTAACTCGAACAGAGCTACTCAGCCGGTCCACGTATTGTGTTCTTCCAAACCGCAAATATTTACAACTATAAATGGCTTCAATTGAAATAAACTCTGAAATAGATCATTTGTGTGCAACAAACTCTTATGTATGCTATCCTACAGACTTTCCTAAGTACATAACTAACCCCATTCAATCTATTAAATTATTACAAATGAACATACGAAGCTCTAATAAAAACTTTGATCAATTCTGCGCATTACTCACTACAACAAACATTGACTACGACGTAATCGTTTTAACGGAATGCTGGCTTTCGAAAGTAAATAACCTCCCTTCCCTAGAGGGATACATGTCTTACTCCACTAAAAATTATTTCAACCAAAATGATGGCGTAATCATCTACACTAACACAAAATTAAAGTGCACTGTTCCACCAGTGTTTGATGATGGAAGTTGTTTAGTGTGTCACATAGGTGATGAAGTCGATATTGTAGCCATATATCGCTCACCATCTTTTAGCACTAGAGATAACTTCGATACCTTTATAAACAGCTTAAATAATGTCTTTACCAACTTATCCTCTGTAAATGCAGTTCTTATGGGGGATATAAATATTGATATATCTGCAAATAGTAAAAACCATTTCTGTGATGAATACTTGACATTTAATGCATCACATGGATTTTTTCCAACACACAGACTGAAAACAAGAATCAATACTTGTATAGATCACATATTTCTAAAGTCTACACTTCCCTCAACAACACTGGTACTGGAATCATATATAACGGATCATCGTCCAACGGTATGTTTTATAGAAAAAATTAAACCCGCAAGCAAAAAATGTCATATTAAGACTTTTATAGATTATTCTAATATTAAAACGGACTTAGAGAGCACTGATTTTTCGTGTATATTAAACACAAAGAATGCCAATTCAGCAGCAGACCACCTGGTTACCACTATTTCATCCATAATTTATAAAAATACGAAACAAATACCAGTACAAAAAAAGAATAGATTACTTAAACCCTGGATAACAATGGGACTACTCCGTTGTATTAGAAATCGTGATAGATTACACCTAAAATGTAAGAAATCACCAACAAACATGACTCTAAAAATTACTTATACACGATATCGTAATTTCTGCAATAGTCTCCTACGAAAACTAAAAGTCGAATATGAAAAAAATCGATTGGATAAGGCTGGCAAAAACCCAAAAGCCTTGTGGGAGGCCGTGAAGGAAATTACCAATACACGTAAAATAAAAATCAGTCCCACGGAGCTTTTAAGTGTAACTAATGATCCCCAAATGTCAGTCAACCAGGTCTGCAACTACCTTAGTAACATAGGAACACTTCTAGCGGGCAAGATACAAGGTGTCTCAAAAGAAAGTTTATATTTAGTAGATCGATTAAAAAAAAAGTAAGCAGTGTATCGAAAAAATGTTTATTAATTATTAAAGTACATAATTTGGGCATTTATTTCTTAAAAATAATATCCCCCAAATGTAGACCCTCGCGTTCGCGGCACTCATTTAATTAAACAGTAAAATTACTTGTGGTGGACTCAGTGATAGCTGCCATTTCGTGACGGATATTTTCTTTCAAATGCGCCAGGGAAGTCGGTTTATTCGCGTGAACTTTAGATTTAAGATAACCCCATAGGAAAAAGTCCATAGGGGTTAAATCAGGACTGCGTGGAGGCCAATTTATGTCACCTCTCCTGGAGATCAATTTTCCTGAGAAAATTTCACGAACTCGTGGTAGAGACGTATTGGACGTGTGTGACGTTGCTCCGTCCTGCTGGATCCATGTTCTTTAGTTATGGCCAGGCAAGTTTTTCAGTTTAGGCGCCAAGAAGTCGTTTAACATCTCCACATAACGCTCTGAATTCACTGTAACTGCACGCCCCCATTCGTCTTCAAAAAAGTAAGGGCCGATAATTCCTCGCGCCCACATCGCAGCCCATACTTTCACTTTAGGCAATTCTGCTTATTTACGTGTCCATTAACATGAAAATGAGCTTCATCCGAAAACAAGATGTTGGTAAACGTTGAAAAGCGCTCAATCGCCTGATTTACGAAGTCAAGCCTCTGACTGGCATCTTGGGGCTTTAATTTTTGCACCAATTGAATTTTGTAGGGGTGCAGCTTTAGGTCTTTGTGTAAAATGCGGTGTAATGATGATCTATGCACATTTAAAGCACTTGCGCGCTTCCGAATTGAAAGGTTCGGGTCGTCACGAATAGACTGATTAACACTCTCCACGTTTTCTACCGTTCTTGATGACCTTGGTCGCCTGGATTTTGGTTTTTCCAGCGTTGTACCGGTCTCTTCAAACTTTGTGACCCATTTTCGAATAAGAGGAATACTTGGCGCATCATTTAAATGGCGAAAACCTCGAACACTACAGAACCTTCTACGCGCTACAGTCGCTGAATCACCGTTTTTGTAAAACTCTCGCACGCACAACTTACGGTCTGCTCCCGAGAAACGCTCCATAGCAACTGAATTCCCAAGAGCCAGGCTACCGATTCACATAACCCCCACGCCCCTTGGACTCGTTGCGTTCACGCAGTAAGCTAAACAAATATAAACTTTCTTTTGAGACACCTTGTACTTTCTTCCCCTAACAACAACCCCCTTGCCCAAACAACTAGTGTTATCACTTCCGGTATTAATAGCCCGTTAAACTCAGCAGTCATACTGGATGTTTCCGAATTGGACATAACAAATATCATTCAAGATCTTCGTCCCAATTGCGCGGTAGGGTGAGATGGTATATCTAACGAGGTTCTAAAACAATGCCGCTCCGTTTTGGTTCCTCCAATCACCCACATATGCAATTGCGCTATAAGGACAGGTGTTTTCCCGGAAGCGTTCAAACTATCAATCGTTCATCCGATTCATAAGGGTGGAGACAGAGATTGTGTCAACAATTATCGGCCAATAGCAATACTTCCTGCTTTATCTAAGATCTTAGAAAAGGTTCTTAATAGGGCCCTCATAAATTTTATAACTGAATACAATATACTAGCTAAAAATCAGTACGGCTTTCGCACTGGTATCTCATGTGAAGATGCCGTACTGGATCTTACTAATGCAATAGTAAAAAAATTAGATTGCGGCAATAAATGTCTTTGCATATTTTTAGATCTCTCTAAAGCCTTTGACACGGTCTCTGTCCCTATCCTTCTAGCGAAATTGGAAAAGCTAGGTATACGTGGTATGGCCCATGAAATTTTCAAAGATTATCTGTCCAATAGAAGACAAAAGGTAAAAGTAGATCGATACGTTAGTGAAGAAAATAGTGTCTCATACGGTGTCCCACAAGGGAGTATTCTAGGCCCCACACTTTTTCAGCTTTACATAAACGACCTTTGCACATTGTCCATCCCAAATGCAAACATTTTCACCTATGCTGATGACACGGCAGTCCTTATTTGGGGGCCTGACTGGGGTGCCACGCGAGAGATAGCTGAAAATTCCCTAGCCCTGATCATGAATTGGCTCACTGGTAATCTCCTTACACTAAACTTAACTAAAACGCTGTATGTTCCATTTACAATGAGAAAAACAAACGCTCCTCCTTGCAACTTCAATATTAAAGCACACACATGCCTTTCTAAAGACAATTGTACATGCCAACAACTTACAAGAGCAGAAAGTGCAAAATATCTTGGTGTTCACATAGACTCTCGTCTGAAATGGGACACTCATATTACTATGGTGACAACGCGATTGCGACGTCTCATACATATTTTTAAAACCCTGAGAGATGCCGCTACAATAGACAAGATAAAACTAGTCTACAAGGCTTTATGCGAATCCATGGTTCTTTACTGTATCACAGTTTGGGGAGGAGCCGCTAAAACCCATTTACTCAGTCTGGAGAGGGCACAAAGAGCAGTTCTAAAGGTCATGACCAAAAAACCCTACAGGTACCCAACACATTTACTGTACTTAAACTGCAACGTCCTAACAGTGCGACAGCTCTTTGTGCTAAAATCCATTCTGAGAAAGCACCGAAATGTACCCCCTCCAAACCCAAAGCGACGAAGATTTATGTCGGTATGTCCTAGGGTCTATTTCAAAACCGCCTTTGCCAGTCGTCAATCTGTTAGTATTACATGTAAACTTTATAACCACATAAACAGAGAAGTAGATATTGTAGGTCTCAGAAGACACGAACTTAAAAATAAAATTACAAACTGGCTTCAGAAGCTAAATTATCCAGAAACAGAAAATTTACTGCAAACAATTAAATAATTCATTTCATTCTACTCTCTTGTGATAAACTGGGTATCTTCGCGTTTTTCACACTCGACTCGCACACACGATAACACACACAAACACACACACACACACACATACACACTCACACACACACCTTCACGTCCTTACGCTACACAGTTTTTATTATACCTATTTTATTTTTATTGTTATGTATCTGTATTGCAAGTGCCCTATATTTCACTTTAGCGTAATCTTACATGTAAATTTTCCTGCGGCTGGATATTGTCATCCAAAATACAGGCTTCGCCTAGTTTGGTAGACAGCATTTAGTACCGTCAGTGTCATAGATTTTGTACTATTGTGATACTGTACCTCAACAGTGAGTGTAATTTTAAATGCAATAAAGATTATTATTATTATTATTATTATTAGTTTGTGGGTAGGTGGGTGTATGCCTATTTTACTTCATTTTGTCTCCCGCTTTGCTAAGGAGGGAAGTGGATTTACTGTATTTCCAACTCCTCCAATTTTCTTCTGATTAATTTCGTTGCGGGTTCCAAGACAGTTTAATTTCTTCCTGTGACTTCCCGAGTGTCAAAACTCGGTGTGTTCGTGGGTCACTGCTGTGGATCCTTGTGTACAGGAGTTACAGTGGTGTGAGTGTGGGTTTGATTAGTCCCAATTAAAAAAAAACATAAAAAAAAGCAATTTGGTTACCATAGTACAGTCTCTGCCTAGTTTGGGATGTCGGACATCTGACAGAACGTCATCTAGTTTCAAACTAAACAGAGCAAAGAAGGAGGTTCACAATTCGCTTGATTTCCGTTTGTTACCCCAGAACTCAATCATTCACGAACTGATTTGGAAAATAATTATTTTTAAAATTATTGATCCACTTCGAGTTTGCAGAAAAAATATTGGTCCTAAGAATGGAATATTAAGTAATGAAGAATAAGTACATATAGCCGCAACGGTTTTCGTTGCGGCTATATGTACTTATTGATGGTGATACTTTTTTTAAAAGTTGATTATGCTATTCAAGGTCAAAATCACCTTATTCGGAGAGCCGAACCCGAACTACGAGTGTATCACAGTGCTGCGCTGTTTATACCAACGCGATCACGATGAGAAACTGTGGGCAAAGATCCAGGGCTTGCAATCACACTGTGAGGACAGGCGAGGGACCGCCAAGTGGAACTTGGACAAGAAGATGATAGCCGAAATCATCTGGAAGTTCTTTAAACTGGAGGGAACGTTCAGTGAAGAAGAAATTATGAGATGCATTGGAATTTTACAGGTAAAAATTGCCTTTTGTAGCTGTAGCAGCTGTTCTAATTTTAGCAGCTTAGTTTGGGGACGAGTTAGCTAAGTACAGCTGTTTTTAATGTTAACAGATCAATTGTCATGAAGTGCCATTACAAGAGCCAGATTACGTTGCTCTTTTCGAGCGTATCTCGATGGCGGAACACAACTGCCGCGCCAACTGTAATAAGAGCTTCACATCATCAGGAGAAATCGTAAGTTAAAGTGAAGAGCGGTAAGAGACTCTTGAACCATTGACCTTTTAACCAGCTTTGTTGATGGAGATCAGCAACTCAACAGTTATAAGTGCAATAGCAGACTACAAGGGGTGTTTTTTTTTTTATTAGCGTGGTATGAATAGTAGGCAAAACCTCTAAGGAGAGGCCTATGTCATGCAGTGGACTATTAAAAGCTGTTGATGATGACTTTATTTGCAGGTCTTGTACGGCGGTGTAAATATCAGTCCCGGTACCCACATCACCGTGTGCTACACGGACCCAATGTGGGGAACTGAAGCGAGACGTCATCATCTCGCTGACTCCAAGTTCTTCGAGTGTACGTGTGAGAGGTGTTCTGACGTCACCGAATTGGGTACCATGTTCAGTGCTGTTAAGTGCAAGAAGAAGTGAGTACTTCTGTCATATACACATAAATATACTACAGAGATACAACCGCCATACGCATAAATTCATTCATATATTCCTGAGAGAGCCATACTTCTGCGTATTACGTCCAGCGCGACTGGAGATAATACTACGGTCTCACAGAAAACCGGTGTTAGGAAATTCTTTCGACACATATCACTTAGTGAAAGAGATTCCCGGAAAAGTATTCCCAACCTTCCCTCAAATCTGGGGAGCACTCTAAGGCTGTCAATGCACTTGATGTGATGTTGGTAGTAACTTACCATCAGGTGATCCGTGTATTCGCATATCATATAAAGTCAGCTGAACGGAAAAAGCAGTAGCTACTTGATGACAACACCGTAATGATACGGTACATGTTGCGCTCATATAAATAAGCACTACCACGGCCTCACAGAAAACCGGTGTTAAGCAATTCTTTCGTTCACTGAGTGAGTGAGGGTACCGGAGCCCAAATCCCCCCCCCCCGCAGACTCGAGCGGGAGGGACTCCAAGGGCGGCTACGCACTTGTAACTTCTGAGTTGCAGGTGTCCATGGGCAGCGGTAGTTGCTTACCATCAGGTGACTCGTCTGCTCGTTTGCCCCTTATGCCATAAAAAAAAGCTTCATTGATTGCTTCTTACGTCATCTTCAATTAGACCACTATAAAAAAAACGTGAATAGAGACTTTTCTCTATGTCTAACGCTATATAAGCTTTTCAGTACCAACTTTCATACTTTTTTATTATAGTCATTAAAAAAGTCAGACTTTTTTATTATATTACTCTCTTAAAAACTATAAATTAGCATCATAAAAAATCTTGATGGGTATTGCTTATAGGGACTGCAAAGGCTACCTGCTGCCGGAAACCTTCATTGTGCCAATCTTGCACAAGACCAAAAATCCTAATCCAGAGACTCGTAACCTTGATAATAAGCTCTGGTATTGTAACTCCTGCAAGGATAATGTTTCTGACGGGATCATGCAACAGCTGCTACAAGATATTGGGCGAGAAATCAGAATTATGCCAAAGGAAGATCCCTCTGCTTGCGAAAGGTAAGTAAAGTGTTAAGAAGCAGTACTTAAGTTTTTTTTTAGGTTTTTTTAAATTCTAGTAGACTTCTTGACAAATTGTTTCATTTTAAGTGGAGAAAACCCCTGCTGAATTCCACGGTTGCCAATAAAACCAATCATAGTATTAGGTTGCAAATCATTGGTTAGTGTAGTGATAGGTAGGTAGATTGCCGTGGCAAACATCTGTGACATCACTTGGAGTACAAGGGTAATAGAATACACATTTCCTTTATTCAACCTGCTTTTTATCTTTTCAGGTTTATAAACCACTGCAGCACTTATTTACACCCTTCTCACTATTACATGATCGACGTAAGTTTAGCTCTTGCTCAGATGATCGGGCAGGAGGAAGAGCAGGGTCTCGCGATGGTGTCTGATGACAGGCTGCTGCTAAAAACACAACTCTGCAAGAAGATACCCGATTTGTTACAAACTTTAGCACCAGGTATGAGAGAAAGAATTGAAATCGTTTATTACCTGTTTGAAGTTCAGTTTTATTAGTGCCTCGTATCTTAAGTGGGTCGATATTGTAACGTAGTAAAAGTAGCATGTTGGCTTGAATGTGATCTGCCTATAACTTCGCCAGTAGCATTAGATTCTCGATGGCCGGAAAAGCACAAATAATCTGTTAATGGTTTTCAGCTGAGACTCGTCTTCGAGGTACCGTTTTGTTTGAACTACACGCTGCTGTGGCAGAAACTGGCAGGAGAAAATCTCTCGTTGATGGACCATTTGTACTTCTCGGTTATGTCTCGGTAAGTTATAATAATGTCAGAAATCCCATTATGTGTGTGGACTTTAAAATAATAATAATAATAACGGACGGACGAATAATAATAATGAACGTAGAACGTAAACAGCAATTGCACGGTTCGGCGGGTCGATGTGGACAAAATCTGAAAAACGTATACTGTCCAGATCGGCCGTAAACTGAAAAAAGAACGAAAAGAGCTACCTTGGCCATACCATGTATTGGATCTTCTGCGTATTAAAAATTGGTAACTTCAAAATAATTATGCTTGAATTTTCCAAACTGAGGAAATTACGTTATAAATGGTGGCAACCAGCTATCTTGACCACTTCTGTTTTGTTGCAAGTAGAAGTCGCCACAACTTAAAAAACAATAAGAAATAGTTTTCGGGTTATATTTTCACGTATCTCAACGTGTAGAATAAAAATTTACGATATTTTTCTTGTTGTTACAAAATTTGATCTAACCGAATTCGCTTGTTGACAATTAGACCCTACTAGACTACATTAGACCGTCTCGCAGTAGTGACGTCAGCTATCACGTACATTACCAATGTCTGTTCAATTTGTAAAGATCAGATCATGAAAGCATAACACCTATTTGATAATTTAATTCGACAACGGTGTACATTCCCATGCTCTACGTTTTTTTTGTGATTTTTAACCGACTTCGAAAAAATGGAGGTTTTGATAATTTTTTTAATATTTTTATGTCAGAGCTCCGTCGTTTACCGATTTGGTAAATCGGTAAATGACGGAGGGTCAGATCGGCTAATGGCGTGGTGACGCGTCTCCACGGCAAGCGTCGCCACGCTATGTGTAAAGTGGTGTCTCTATATTTTTAATTTTGCCATATTTATTATTTCCTTTCATCAGCTATGCTTTTCAGAAATCGTAAGTCAGAAATCATAAGTAGAAAAATACTACTAAGTACTAAATTTGAAGAAAAAAATACCACTCCTAGGGATGGAAAATAAAAGAATGAATGATACAGTTTTTCAAAGTTCATCATAATGTAGGCGCATAAAAGTCAGTGATGCTTTATTAACAGTTAATTTAACATTTTAAAACTGGATTTTTGATTTCAATGGTTTAAGATTTGGTTGTATTTTCTTTTGAAAACGAAGGTAGTTTATACAAATTTTAAACCTGCATACAATTGTGTTAAAAAGTTGAGAACACCAATATCATAGTACCAACAAATCGTAAAAATCGCTTTGTTTTATATTTTCAAAAGACAGATACTAACAAATATAATAAAAAAAAAAATACACATCTACTATTGTGAAATTCCATTTTTTTTCCATTTATTAAGGTAAATAAACAACGACACACTACAAAGTTTTAAATAACGTTACCTATAAGTACATATGTGTAACTGTGTCATCAACGACATTTACCACAGAGTAGTGAAGTAATATTTAAAGGGTTTTTATCCTTTGAGAACATTGAGAGTTGATAGTTTGATAGTAACATTATGAATATTAATAGTAGCTTAATATTTAATATTAATTAAAATCAAGACTTTTAAAAAAGAACTAGGTCGCTTTGCAATAAGATCAATAGTATAAAAATGCTTGTTATAACAATCAACTAAGCTGTGCATCGATGATCTTTTGCCAGCATTAGTTCAACATCGAATAGTTGCAAAAATTTACAGAAAATATCTAAGTGAGTGAAATCATTGACATAATCTCAAGGTTGAACAAAAAGCGTATTTTGTACGTGTCTAGGGAGACAACTGGACCAGTCAGTGTTCGCTCCACTTTCAGATGCGAAGCGCTGACATCCATTCGGGCGAAAACTTTTTTTGTAACACTATGACTGAGAAACGCAAGTAATTTAGTATTGTATGGGTGCTTTAAAAGAAAGATGGAGAGATAACTACCATTGTTCGACAGCCCTAGCGTTTCTTTTTTAATTAATTGTTCTTTTTTTAAATGCATTGTCATTTAAGTAGTTCGTTCTTCATAGTGTACAAAAACTCGTTTCTGTTTTTTTAATTATATGAACTAGAGAATACTAATGACATTTCGTGGTAACATCACATCACATCAACAGCCTATAATAGTCCACGGCTGGACTTGGGCCTCGCCTTAGGAAGGAGGTTTTGTCCATGTGTCAAGTTTTCCTTCTCTTTGCAATGCTGTTGCGTAGTAGGCTCTTACGACACCCACGGGATGAATAGGGGTGGTGACATTCCGTATTCTTAATGGGTCACCACACGGTGACTTCGTGATAACAAGAAGTATAAATAATATATATATATATATATGATCACATAGCATAATGTCCATTAAAGGCTGATATTAATATCTATTAATTAAAGCAAAAAAAATCTGTGTATTACTAATAACCCATTTTTCTGTCCGTCTCTCTCAGAAGAACAATGAGTTAAGAACACGAGTGAGAAGACTTCTGTAGTAGTACATTATTTCAATTACGTTATACCTAAACTATATACTTTAAAAAAAAAAGACAACTCCCACATTAGGAATATATCCTGTGTCGCGGGGGACTTTACAAACATACATGAAACGGACACAAAGAACACCCAGACTCAGTATTACAATTTATGGATCACACAAAGTGTCATCCCATGTGGGGTAGTAGGTGCGTAGTAGGAAGCGGCGTGGCGACCACTTAAACCACTACGCCATCAGTGCAGTCGAACTGTTGGTACTATTCTAGGTATTATCAAACAAAAGAAATACCAAGTTCTACTTTTTTATCTATGTCCTGTCCTGAGATTGAGATCTTAAACGGTAATCATTAATGAAAGAAACCGATTTGATCGTATTTCATTGTTGTGTACGATTATAATTAAAAGCTGCTTTCATTCACGCATAATTATCTTTGCTGAATTTTAAAATGATAATATTTTACAATTTTTTTACTCAGACATGCCTTGATTACACTGATATCTCGTATTTTAATACTGTTATAATAAAAAATAATCTTATCACATCACGAATCAAGAATAACGTAACTTGAAAAGGCGTAGTTAGAACTCGTGGCTTGAAATTTTCCACAAAATTTCAAGCCACTCTTCTTGCTGACTATGTGGGGGAGAACGTACCCACCCCTATTTTAGTTAATTCAATTCCTGTACAATACACTACGGTAAACTGGTGGTGGTGACCTCTTTATTTCCAAAACATCCAAAAATAATATACCTACATTAGTTCAATATCATCATACTGTGTCATGTGTCATCTCACCTACCATTTGACGGCTAACCATAGTATCGGGCGCGCTGATTGGTCAAATCAAATAGCGCTCGCTTTTTCGACTTCCTGTTACACATTTCCGTCCTTTTTATTACACGCTTTATGTTCGTATCGTATCTTTGTTTCACTTCATCTGCTATCTTTAAAGCAACTACTGGAATAGCGCTTTACACGCTTTATATTAGCTTCACTTGTATGTTTGTTTGTAACCGACTCCTTTGGGCGTGATTTTGACTGACTTTGAACGGTCAGAATTCGTTCAAACTTTGTAGATATATCGAGGACCGATGACAATACACTTATTTAAAAAAAAAGAAAATTAAAAAAGATAATAGTTTAAAAAAACAAAAAACACGCTTTTTATAGAAAACCAAACTAAAAAATAGGAAACAAATTTTAATAAATTTGAAAAAAAGCGTGGGGTGCTGTTTACTATTGACAACAGGCACGCAACGCTTTTTTCAAATTTATTAAAATTTATTTTCTATTTTTTAGTTTGCTTTTCTATAAAAAGCGTGTTTTTTAGTTTTTTTAAATTATTTTTGACACAGATTTTAGATCAGCGAGGGGAAAGATGTTCCATCTAAAAAGAAGAGGATAATAATATGCGAATTGACCGTTCGCATCAGTAACAAAGTGGGGGTATATAATTCTCCACTAAGAGCTCGTTCCCACTAGTCGGATGTCGAGCCCGACAGAAAATCGACTGCTCTAGTGGCAGAACATTTTATATAAAACTATTTACACTTGTCCGACACTGATTTTGTCTCGGCGCTGACAAGCAATGTCGGGTGTTTTGCGAGCCCTACTATTATTGTTTTATGTTCTAAAATATTACCAAACTAAATCTTTCACTCAGGATTTGGTGCATCAAATATTTATTTCCTTAGCTGTCTTTATTCGTTTTCTTCTTAAACAATAATACACCAATACGAGTACAAGAACATCGTGCAAAGTCGCCTCGCGTAGTATTAAAAATTGGCACGGGTTTCGACCTTGGCCGACAACTAGTGTAAACTAAGACACCCGACTAAGATCCGGGCCCGACAGCCGACTAGTTGGAACGTAACTAACCCACGTAAATTCGTCTGCGTCTCTCAAACAGATTTTTTTACCGTATTTGCAACATTTCTCGTTAATGCGCGGCTCCTGTTGGCCGTACCCTGTTGTCATATAGCCTACAGCCTTCCTCGTAAATGGGCTATTCAACTCTACAATAATTTTTCAATTCGAACTAGATCCTGAGATTAGCGCATTCTACCAAACAAACAAACTCTTCAACTTTTTAATATTAGTTAAGATACGACGAAGTTAACTAATTTATGTATCACGACATTGGATAGCGTTAAATGACCACACACGTTACAATTTTCCGTGTCGACGACATTATTTTTCGAGTGAGATTAATCAGGGATTTCCCCTTGTTTTATTATTCCTCAATTGTACAATATGAAGGATTCCCACTGCATTTTTGTATGTCACACTACAACACAAATAAAAGCAAACAAGCAAACCTTATCATGATACGAGTAGTATGCGTTCAAATCGAGCAGCAGCGACGATAGGTACAGCTGACTACAAAGTGACAGCGGGAAGAACTTAAAGGCCAAAGGACACCATTTTTTTTGGCGCTTTCACAGCTTGACAGTCTATTAACACATATCTAGGTACACTAGGAATTACATCGTTATGATCCATAAATCAAGTCACACATTAAGGGAACGTAAGAGATTTTATTTTGACTTGTTTGACTGCACAGATGGCGTAATGGTTTAATATGGCGTTAAGACACAGTTCTTTTCTACAGGAGTCACAGAAAATACTGAAGGAAGCAGCTATGTTGCTGCGTCACGAGCCTCCAGAGCTGCCCGAGGGTCGTCTCTTCCACCAGGCCAAGATCAACCTGATCCAGATGGAAGAACTGATCAAGAACCTGTCCGCTGTGCAACCGTCGCCATTGTAGAAATAAATCATTTATAAAATTTTAATTGATTTGTATTATTGTATTGCTTTCATTTACGTGGTTATATTCATTTTTTGATAAATCCTTTTAAAAAAAAGTTGAACCGACTTCAAACAATATTAACAAAGTGCACTAAAAACCTAAAACCAATCGCCGTTGATTTGTTGTCACTTTTTGATGAGTTCCGTTGTCTGTCTCCGAAACTCATCATCAGATCTATGTAAAATTTAAATGGAAACAATTTGGAATAAACTTTTTGAACAAAATAAGAATTTTGTAAATCCGTCTGTATTTTATAACGGAATTATGCCCAAACACGAACATACATAAAAAATATAAGTATCCGAATTGAAATCCTCCTCTTTTTTGAAGTCGGTTAATAAAACGTTGTTTCGTCGATTGTTACATTTTTAATCAAGACAACATATGTTTACTTTTGCAGAATAATGTTTGATTTTATCATGGGAGAGCCGTGTACTTTGGATCGAATGGGCCGGCTCTACCGGAGCGATACTACGGCCTCGCAGAAAACAACTGTTAAAGCAATTCATACTTTTTTGCAGACAAGACACTTAATTACAAATAGTAATAGTAATGAATAAATAATAGTTTAATAATAAACTCGTTGATCCATAAACTATAGAGTACAGACAAAACCTTTCTTTATAAGCAAACCAGGTCTTGTATTTAAATCAAGTTTATTTAATGAACTTTTAATCTAGACAATTTCTCGACCACCTTTATAATTTAATGCGTAAATATATTAAATGTAGGTGGTGAAAGCTGTTCGGGGGCGAAAAAATAACCTCATTTGTAGATGCGCACGCGCACTTGTCACATTGAGAGAGCTTTCGCCTTACTTCGGTTTGTTTGTTTTTATTACGTGATTTGGCGGAGTATCACGTAGATGAGTGTCAGAGACGAATATATAACAGGCTAGGAATCAAGTTGTAGTACTTTCACTTGAACACGCATGGTAAGTATGTGTGAGATAAGCCTGACTGGAATTAACCTCAGCTTAGCTCTAAGCTGAGGTTGATTACCAGCCAGGATCCATAAATATGTGATAATATTAATAATAAAAACAAAAAAAAGGAGAGGCCTATGTCCGGCAGTGGACTGCGATAGGCTGATGATGATGATGATGAAGTAAAAGTTTACAAACATAATTTCATAGTTATATTACAAATAATGCACTGCTAAAACTTAAAAAGGAAACCCTGTGTTACTGTGTGTACTAGAAACTCTTTATGCGACACAGTTTGGTTATACAATGCTTCAATTTTACCACAAAACATAATAAACAGAAATTCTAAAACCTAATTGGTTAGTAATTGAAATTAAAGTAAACTGTTTTTATTATTAGATGTAAAAAACAGTGGTCAATAATTTGTTAACTCTAAGTTATGAGGTCTGCCTTTGCTGTGTCTAGGTGTTATATATTGATATAAAATATATATAGTTATTTTCACACCTATATCTATTTTTACAGGTTATTACCTAATACAATAAACTGGTAACAGATAAACAAACAAAAATTAATTTAGAACAAAGCAATAGAAAAATTGCAATTCGTACGAATACGTTCAGGGAACATGAAAAACTATCAGTTTCGTTTGATATCGTGTTGTTAAACATATATGAGTATGTTCATCATCTTATATATAAAATTCTCGTGTCACAGTGTTCGTTCCCGTACTCCTACGAAGCGGCTTGACCGATTCTCATGAAATTTTGTGTGCACATCGGGTAGGTCTGAGAATCGGCAAACATCTATTTTTCATACCCCTAAATGGTAAGGGTGACCCATCCCTAATTTTTTTTTGTTTTGCAATACAACGTTTGCCGGGTCAGCTTTTAAAACAATAAAAATACATGAGTGAACCTTACAAAAGCATTTACGTCACTTCTGATATCGCACCAACCATCTGACGGCCGACTCTAAAATCGCGCAACCTCATTGGTCAAATCGAATAGCCCGCTCTCATTGGTCAAATCAAATATTGCGCGCTCATTGGTAAAATAAAATAGCGCGAGTTTGTCCGACTTCCTGTTACACACTTCCGTTGCTTTTCATAGTCACTCTTAAAGACTGTAAAAAGCTAAGAAATTATGTTAAACATAAGAAAAACATGTCCTATGATATGATCTAATACAAATTAAACAAATTTTGGGTCATCTGTCAGGTCACAACGCCATCTAGTTTCAAAATAATATTCAGATTGATGAAAAAAATATTTGCAGATCATACAAACATTTAGTCCCGGGTCAAACCCGAGGCCTCAGCAGTCACACACGCTACCACTGCACCATCGAAGGAGTGTAATAGTCATTTTTTAAATTTAAAACAATTTTGTTTACAACATTAAGACTTTTAAATGACAAAAGCACAAGGCAGCACGCGAATAGCAAGTAATAGTGGGTTATGTTTTAAAACAAAATTAAAAGCCAATGCAGAGCCGGTATCTTGGTGAGTGACAGAAGGAGAGCTGTGTGTCGCGCGGACATGCTTTAATTGGACCGATATCAACACGTTCGCGGAATCGAACCCATCGTAGCCGGAGCGTTTTGAGCCATACATTAACTTCTTTTAAATTTAATCGATCGATTTTACAACGTTTGTGTAACCGACTTCATCAAACAGTTATCCGTGTCGTGTTGGATTAAGAATACTGAGTGCTCCCACCCCCCATTGTGGGTGTGGTAAGAGGCTGCAGGACAACGGCACTGCAAAGAGAAGGAAAACTTGACACCAGCCCTATTCCAACCAGTCTGGCCAGCGTGGTATAGTAGGCAAAAACATCCTTTCTAAGGAGAGGCCTAAGTCCAGCAGTGGACTGCTAAAGGCTGTTGATGTGATGATGTGAATCGAACAGTCGAGCCGCTCGGTAAAAAGAGACGAAACATGTACTTAACACCGTTTTTCAGTGAGGCCGTTGTGTGGTGGAGAATAACAAATATAATGGGTACATACATTTATTTATTTATTTATTTATTTATTTATTTTCTTTAAAAACAACTATTTTTACAGGCTTAGCCCAATGCAATAGTGTTATACCATCTACTTATTTATTATAAGAAATAATTCTTAATGCTGTTATTGTGAATTCACTCAGTGAGCAATAAAATAAATCTACTTCGTCCGCAATTATATTCAAAGTACGTAGTGCACGCGTCAGCGGTGCTTCTCTCTGCAGGTTGGTGCGCCCGCACGGGACAGCCAGCAGCGGCGGCCGGCGGCGCCGCCACACGTATCTGTCCGGAACACATATGCTGACTCGTCCTAACACGTCTTCATTATGTATCCCACCCAGATATAATACATGATATAATACACTCTATTGGTCCTTCACGTGACACATAATACTTCTATTTTTGCTTTTGACATACAATTTGTGCTAATTACAGCTTCAGGTGCTTGGAGTTTTGAGTAGAATAAAAAAAACGCATATAACAAAGGCAAGGAATTTTTGTCAAATCTTTACATTATATAAAATGAAGTTGTCTTTTTTGCTTGTACGCTAATATCTTTTAAACTACGTAACGGATTTTAATGGGGTTTTCACCAATAGTGAAAAAGATTCACAAGGCGGGTTTATATGTATAACACATGCACATTATAGCAGAGGAAATCCGAGAATTTCGAAGATTAGTAATGTGAGGTCGTAAAAACATGTTTTTGTGCGCTTACATTGCAAACGCTGGCTAAACTGCTGGAGTCAAATCCGACTATCTTTAAACAGACATTAAAAAAAAATCTGAGCCAAAAATGCTATTATAATGTAAATGATTTTCTGCAAGACAAATTGTAAATCAAATTAATTTCGTTCATTGTTATTTAATTTATGTTGAACATGACAATGTGACATTTTTTTTTTTTTTTTTATTTTGACTATTTGATTATTATTGTTGTTTTTTTTATTATTTTTGTTTTGGTTTTATTATATTGATCTGACTTAATAGCATTCATATTACTCTTGACATTATTAATTCTCTGAATAAATTTATGATATGAATATATTCTTCAAATTGTATTTGTAATGTTGAACGTCTAAATAATAATCTTTTAAATATCTATGACTAAATATTTGCACACCTTTAAGAGGTTATATTACAGCGTACCCATGTATTATATGATGTTCTTCTACCACCTTTATACCTGTTTTATGCAAAAAATAAATGATTTTGATTTTGATTTTGAAACCTTACGAACTAGATCAAAATAATGTACTACGGAATTGTATATCTTACAAAAATCTGTAAAAAAGTATGCAATTCTTTTTTTACGCATTACAAAAAGTAATGTGTAATTTACGAAGCTATTTTCAACAATACATTCCTTGTCAAAATAAATGCGTTTTATGTCGTTTTATATCTTAGTAGATATCAGAGATTTAAATTGCGGGAGGCAAAGCAGCAGTCTTTTTTTATTGAAAAGAGCATTAATTGAGTAAGGTATGTAACATTATCCTAGGCCCGAGGCCATGTAGTACCAGCCGCCCCTTTCGCAGCACCCATCTTAGACTACGTAATGAATTTACTTAATTGCCGACTTTATCGAAACCGATTCAGAAGTTTAGTTTACTATAATAGCTGCTAGTTTGTAATATTTGCCGAGGTTTCAAGGATACGTATAAGGATGCATAAATATACATAAGGATACATTGCATGAATAAATAAAACGTTGTCAAAAGATAGCCCTGGGCAATTTGAAATGTCAATTCCCAATTCAGGAAAATTGAGGGAACAGCATTTATCATTTGTTGATGTGTGGCATGTGTTTGGAATAAACTTGAGGAAACTTTTTACAGATGACTCATTTTATATATTATTGAGCAGGATTTTTTTGAGTACATAAGTAAGCTGGTCTTTTTTTTGTTTGTGGGATCGAAAATCCCTTTGGATCTCCGGCTCCTTGGGGACACAGGAGCCAGGCGTTTGTGGTATTTCTACTAAAAAACACCCCGACAGCCGGCCTCAGGCGCCCTACACTAGGGAGG